AAATAAACGTTTTGTACGCTATAACAACCTGGCTATGTTTGGGGTTTTCTTCTCCGTGGAGCCCATCGTTATGCACACCAATTCGACATGCTATCCAAATACGTGTTGACTCCTAGAAGAAAAGAAACCCGATTTTTATTGTGTTGCGAAAGTATGTCTGGCCACACTGAAACGGATACATATGCGATTGCCTCAGCTAATATATCCCATTCAAATAATATGCTAGCGATATTCTCGCCCCACCCGCCACCTGGCCTATCGTCCTGCAATTTTACATGGTGGACTCAGTTGATCAGGCTGTGCTGGCACAAATGTAGCAAGAATTAGACAGCTAGACTATTTGTAAATGCTCAGCCTTTCATATTATGCGTTTATTTGTGAAATATATTCATCACAGCCTACACAGGTATATTTTGGACCGCTCATTTTGAATTACCCTATTTATATACGAGTAATATTCAAATGCAACTACTATAAAACATTTTAGTTTTATATATTAAACAAGGAAAAAATATTTCGGCAAGATCAGAAAATATCTAGCAACGGTAATAATTTAAATTAAGTAGCCGCCATGACTTTCCCCTTTGAATTAAAGGGAGTGGGAAATCTTTATGTTTGCTATTAATAAATTATCAGAAAGTTCCATAAATATCTTCAAAAGTTTACTTTTCAGAGCAGTGTATTAAGGACCAATCAGCTTCAATATTTAAGTGTAAAAGACAATATTTTTAATATACGTTTCAGTCTGCATTGTGAAGTTCATAAATCTTTCTTGAAATAAATCTTTTCAAGAAACACAATGAATCATTTTTTTTAATAAATGGTGGTTTTTAATTAGAGCCCAATTCACTGATATGTAGATAATACTATTTTCCTAGCCCATATACACAGAATATAAAAATTACAATAAGAATCACTACGACCAATTTTTTAAAGTTTTTGATTGAGTTTACAGTTCTTGTTTTCGAGTTTTCCTTTTAACGTCTTTGACTTTTGTTTTTAAATTCCGAACAAGCTCAGATTACAAAAACTCAAGTTGTACCTGATTTCGAAGGAAATTTCGCTCGCTAAAGAAATTTAAAAATATGTGTTGATGCCTTTACACATGAGCGAGCCGAGTTCATTCGGCAATGGCAAAGGCATTAGTCCAAGAAAAGATTTTGCACGTTTTCATCTTCACAATCTAAACTGTTAAAAGAAAACGTAAATTTCTATTCAAGACGGCGGATTACAGAAATTATATATCAGCTACTTGAGAAAAAGGAAATTTCGGAAAGCTTTATTTATAAAAGTTTGTTTCTTCTATTTCACATTAGAATCAGATTTCAAAATCAAGCAAATTTTATCATTTTTTTCTGTCAGAAAGATATAAACCACCTGTAAAAGCAAAATTTTAAAAAATGTTCTATTGAAATTACTACAATAGTTTAATTTCTTCATTCTTTAAAACAAGAACATATGTACGTCATTTGTCTCTTACCTCAGATTTTGAGATTTCATTTAACACCATGATGATTTTAAAGATTTAATTATTCATTAAAACTACATACAGCAATGATGGCAGCAAGATTTAAAACTTTTCGAAATCTAGCTTTATTTTATTGTTATTGTTTTACCTGTCTAAAATTCACATCTTTGCGTTCACCCATTTTCTCGCATAAGCAGCTGAAATTTTTAGATTTCTTTTATATTTATAAGCGTTAAAAAAGAAAGAAAAATGTTAAAGGAAGGTGGGACACTTTTGCAAGAAGAATTAACTTTTACCCCTAATGATGCTAGCCACGTCATAAATGTAGAAAGAATCTGCGGGCTCCGATAATGATTATTGTTCAGCTTCGGATAGTGATTAAGTATGATACAAGAAAATCAACTTGAAAAGTAATTATTTTATTAGAAAGTAATGCATATTTGCTTAAAATAATAAAAATAGAAATACAAAATGAGAAATAAATGGGAGATGAGAAATAAATACAAATTGATAAAACGACAATTTATTTACCTACAGAGTTTATAATAAATTCAACATTTTGAGTTGGAAGGCTAGATGAATATTAAATCTACGTTCTTACATATTTAAGTCTTGTATAGCAAAATTTTCAATGCAAGAAAACATTTGCAAAGCTATGAATAATTAATCTTTTCATGGGACCAGTATAAATTTAACAGTTGCTATTCACTCAGTGTGGGATCATAAATGGCTAAAAAGGGACTGCTTTGCAGTTACTCCTTAAAATTGATCAAAACGTCATTTTTTTTTTTTTCTTTTATTTACAGGCACTGAAGATGCAGATCCATTTTCTAACTAGAACTTTTAACTGTAGATAAAGCATAAAAAGTTAAATATTGTGCTCAGAGATGTTTCATATCAAGAGCATTGAAATATTTTCATAAAAATTAAGTAATTTATAAGGAGAAACCTTGCACACGAAATAACATGTGTTTCATCACATCAAATAACATCAATGTTTGAAGAAATAAAGTTTATAGACAACTGTTTTTAACGCTCTGTATTACAAACTCCACGCAAATATTTCCGCATTATCTCATAAATAACAGTCATTCATTTTCGGCAATCGTCAACTACGCATAAAAATATTAATTTCTTATTCGCATTCTAATGCTCTGTAGTCCTTTAAAGTTAGTATTGGATGTAAAAATATTGATAAAATATACATTATACTTCGTAAAGCATACATAAAATATATAAAGTACATAACTTACTTGTTTTATCCCTAAAAATTAGGAGGCAACTAAGCTAAATTAATGTCAGTGTGACGTTGGTTTTATAGAAAAGCTATGCATTTCGAGGAAGACTAGTACCGAATCTCTTTTCTTCAAAGAACAAAAATATTTTGATTGAAAGCAAGCAATTGTTGATTTTTGTATAATTTAAAACTTTTTATAGTAATATTCTTCTGTCCCGGAAATTAACATCGCTCATTCACGGTTTTTGTAATAAATGTAATGACTTTAAATTAAAATTAAAGGTTAAACCTCCCATTTATTCTAATACTGATTCTCAGCAAATTCAAACATTATTTAATATTTAATAAATTACTTCACTATATTAAAAATTAATACATTTTTAAAATTCAACAAATTCACTATATTTTTAAGTTAAAGAATTTAATTTATAGGATTCGATATGGAATGCAAAGACAATTTAGAATTCTCAAAATCTTTATATTTAAACTTATGTTATTTTTGGACTGTAATACCTCCTCTTTAAAACACACGCAAATTATCAATTTTCATAAAACTTGTCAAAACCATGTTATCGTACTTTAATATTCAGACGTTACTTTATGATTAGTTTTTAAATCGCAGTATAGACACAGCAAATCGCAGTATAGACACAGCGAAAATAAACGATTCATTTCAAAATAATACACACTACTGTTGATGACAATATACTTTAAAAAAATACTGAAATTGTTTAACACTGCAAATTTTTACCACTAAGAGAACTGACAAGCAACTGAGTGCAAATCCCTTCCTTGAAGAGTAAGTATTAGCTTCTAATTTCTCCCCCTCCTTCTCGCACAAAAATAAACTACGGAATAGTGTACTGACAAATTTCATTAAAATTCTTGCATAGTTATTAAGCCAAAAATCGTTTTTCAGTAAAAAGATTATCAGAAATTGTCTCTTTAAAAATAAAATTTTAAAGTGCTCCTCCCCCCCAAATGTTTATAAAAATTTTTTGTTTGATTAAGTTTTATTTATTTCGCATCGGTAGCAATTCAGTGAGCCAAAAATAAGTTAATAAATAATAACATAAAAATAATAAATAAAATAAAAGTAATAAATAGATAATAAAAATAAATAAATATAAAGAAAAAATAATATTCACATATTCCCGCTCAAAATTAATGCCAAATTAAGAATGAAATATTCTTTTATAAATTATTACAAATATGTTTATTAGTATTAGAGAACTAATACGTTAAATAATGTACGTTAAATCTTTTCCTTCTCTGCGTTTTACATACACTGAGGATATAACAGGTATTTATGTATTAAGTATAGTGGCAAATAACTGCCGTTCAATAAGAAAAATGTTTAATAAATTGAGGATATGACAGTTATTTGCATTTTTCGCATTTCGGAAATAAAGCATCAAGTCCCCCCCCCCAATGGCAGATTGTGAACAGTTACAATTTTGTAACCGAGTCCATTAATCTATACTAAGGCCAGATGTGGTGGTCTCTTTATTATGGAGGCACCTAATAGGTGGGCCACCATTGCCTCCTATGAAGGGACGGACAGGAACCCATGCCCTTCGGTATCGCAGTCAGGCTTCCCTAACCATTATACCGTCTGGCCGGCTATAAAGCATCAAGTAGAATAAAATATTATCAGTGCTCTCATAAGACGATTTTTTTAAAAATTTTTATTACTGAGAGATTCTGTAGTGAGTTCTCTACAGATTTTAATTTTCTTAATAATTTCAATTAAAAAATTAAGCTTGTAAATATGTGTATGTACAAATATGCGCAAAAAAAGTTTAATTATAATTAAATGCAACTACTTTTATTTTAAATGCTTTTAAAAGCCAAACATTCCATCCTCTATTATTTTTTACTTGGCATGCCCTACCGTTCTATTTTTAAGTTCAAAAACTATTTACAGTTTTTTTTTCATTAAATCCAATTCATCTCGTAATTAATATTACTTTTAAGCAAATAGAGATAAATAAGAAACGGGTAATGATTCGCTTATACGACTGATAAACCAGTCACTAAACCAAGATTATTTTTGCAATATTACTCATTCATGCTCCCTTTTATCAAATCTCACTTAAGTCTATTGCAAATGATATAAATGATCTTACGATCAATTATAAAATAACAATCGATCAGTAGATATTAGTAATGAAACACACCTTTGAAAACATCATCACTAATTTAAGGCACTAAAATATACAGATAATAAAATATAATAATAAATATTTATCAAGAAATTAAATTATAGATAATACACGAAATACATTTACTGACCTGCATAATTCATAGCACACTACATGTCTCAGAAAATACCACAGCGAAGCCGCTGATTGAGCTCTCTTCGTCTTTATAAATCTTCGTAGATAGTAAGACTACTGTTCAATGTAAAATGCAGATGACAGAAACAGGTCTAACCTCCAGATATAAACTGTTAAAATTAATTTAATTTTATAATTCGATAAATCAATAAAATCTTTTAAATCCTGCTTGAGACAAGAAGCAAATACAAGACTCGAAAAAATTTTAAAATACTTTCTGTAAATCTCTAATCGAAGATACCAGTATTAAAATTTGTGATTTATCACAAGATATATAATAGGAACGTCAGCCTATGAATATGCTTTTAGACAGCTGACGGAAAAGTCTGGATATGCTTAATAATTAACTAATTAATTGCTAATTATATAATTAATGCGATTTCTTTTTCAAGGCAGTGAAGGTTAAACGTAGATCAACCTCCTTCCAAATCACTGTTTACAAGAATTTTTCTTTTGCAAAGTCATTATACCATGTATAACGAATCAGTAGCAATCATGACCATCCAATACAGCATTTGACACCACTACCACTTTCGATGCTTTTAAAATAAAAAAATCGCTAAACAAAAAAAGTCTTTTTTTTTTTTTTTTTTTTTTTTTTTTTAAAGACCTAAAGGCTTTGGAGAGTCAAAGAAGTCGAAAAAAGAGTTCAGCTGAATCCTTTCAAATTTTTGCGCATGTAAGAAGGATTTCAATTCACAAGGACGGAAAAAACAAAGGATTACAGTTCCGTCCGGCACATCAAGAATGGTACAGTTTACGGCTTAAAACAAACGCACAAAAAAGAACCCCAGTTGAAAAAGTCCGAAGAAAATTCCTCTGCTGGGCAAGACTTCATCAACACTGCATGCTTGCCGCTTTCAAAGTCAAAAACTGGCCCACGTTATTAGAAAGCCCATTTTCTGCGCGACCAACGGTTTTGTTTTGTTTTCGTTTATTGCCTTTTTTTTTTTTTTTTTTCTTTTCTTTTCGCTCTCGCTCCATTCCTTCCTTAGGCCTGCCCTAATTCTATCGAAAGAGAGAGAATAAACGAAGGTAAATCAGCTGACCGTTCGACGGGGAAGGGGTGGACTTACCGTTAGGTTCTCAGAGGAAGGGTTGGCCAATGATAAGACGAAATGTGCCGCTTTGACTCTGCCCAATAGATAAAACAACACGCTATTTATTTTTTTAAAGAAATAATTTGTCTTGCGTAAGACACGCAACTAATAACAAAAGCTAACTTTCGCATGCACAGGAAGCGGTATCAAAGACAACGAAACACTCGGCATTGTGTTTTAAAGTAATGCGTAATATTTAAACAAGTTAAGAAGAAAGCATACTTCAATTAAATTATTAAAGCTTGGTATCGAAACAGTAATGTTAATATAAGTGGCGATAAAAATAGAAGTAAATATAAGCACAATGAAGTAATTTTAATATTTCAGGAAGCTTTAGATCGGTTATAGAGTGAAGCAAATTATAAGCACATAAAAATACTCATTTCCCATCTTGAATTGCTAAATCTTTTTAAAATGCTCCATAAGTTATGTCATGTTATGCAAATTCATGTTACACGAAACAAAGAACTAATAATAATGAAAAAAAAAAAAAAAGGCTAGGTTCCACATATTAAATTGTACTACGTTTTCCTTTTACAAAATATTACAAATATGTTTATCAGCATAAAACTAGTCATATTAAAGAATGTATGTTCAATATTTTCCTTCTTTTTAGGTTAACAGCGCTTCGCAGAAGATGAGTAAGTAACTGACTAAGCCGAAAGGCAGAGATTTCTCGTTGCAAGACTTTCTAAGGGAACCTGGCTCATATGTAATATACAGGGTGTCTATAATTAAAGAACCCCATTTCAAAGCTGCCTACCAGCAAAAACAGGTATCAGGAAATTGTGAAATTTTGTGTCGGACTTAAATATGGATGAGATTTTCTTTCAGGGGGAAAACAAAATAGGTACAAATAGCGTCTCCAGAGGGCGTTTTATTTTAAAAACCTATAGCAAAAATGTAAATTTTTATCGACATCATGCAGCAGTTGTTTTAAAACTTAGAAAAATTCTAGAAGACTTTGTTTTCAATGTGCTTCTTGCACACAATGACGATACGTTTACAAGATTGTACTTTGTTAGTAAAACTGTTTTACCAAAACTGTAGCTGCAGTAGCTGCTCTTCGGAAGCTGCGGACTTTATAGAGGATTCTAAAATGTCCAAAGAACGTTAAAAACCTTCGGAAAATGAAAACGAAATTTGAAGAAAGATGACCGTTTTCTGTTCGTCCTGGAAGAGGAAGAAAATCTGTTTCTGCAGAAGCAGTACAAGAGGTTACGCTTTAGGTCGTAGAAGACACAGCTTCGAACTTTCAGGCTAGTACTAGGGTCCGGCGTATAGCAGAGGCGCTAAATAGACCACATTTAAAACTGTCCATAAAATCCAGCGGAATATCCCCCGGTATTATCCTTACAAACGTTTACTAGTACATCGACTGCTTCTGCATGATTTTGACGCTGACTCCGATTCTCACTTCAGTTTCTCGCTCGCTTTGAGTTCGATTCAGAATGGCCTTAGACAGACGAAACGCATTTTCATTTGGACGGTGCAGTGATTACGCACAGCTGCTGATTTAGGGAATGAGAAAATCCGGGACCTGTCTTAGAGATTCCATTGAATTCACTAAAAATGAGGGTATGGTGTGGATTTTCTGCGTCATTTATTCTCGATTAGTACGCTTTCGAGGAGCTAAGTTGCACAGGTCCAGTGACATGTTCCATCACCGGGCAGCAATATTCATGTCTATTAGAGAACGAAATTCTGCAAGCACATTAGTGCCTTGCACGTACAATCTTTACGAAAGATGGAGCTCTTCCACACATTGCCCGGTGTTTGAATGTTACTAAACGCCATTTTACAGAAGAATGTGCCATTAGGCGGCACTTTCATAATGTGTGGCCTTCTCGATCCTCAAACCTCAATCTATACGATTTTTGGCTTTGGGGGCATTTGGAACATTGATAAGTCATGAAAATCCAAGGACTTGCACGTGGCATGAAATGCAGCACTTCACGCCACATGCTGAACATTTCCCAGCACCTACTTCGGTCAATTTTGTGGAACATGACATCTTGCGAATTCAGACAGACGGCAGCCGAAAATAATGGCCATCACGTGGAACATGCATTTTTATAACAAAATTTGTCAAATTATAAAACTATTGTAAAGTTAGGGCTCAATGTACAATTTATTACTATAGTGCCCTCTGGTGACTCTACTTGTAACTGTTTTATTTATCTTTTTTTTTTTTTTTTTTTTTTTTTTTTTTTTTTTTTTTCCTGATGAAAGAATTCTTATCCCTTCATTAAGTCCGGCACAAAATTTCACAATTTTCTGATCATCGGTTTTGCTTGTAGGCAGTTTTGAAATAAGATTCTTTAATTATAGATACCCTGTATATGGGAATTTCATAGTTTCAAGGAGAAAACGCGGTTAGTCTTCTGTTTATCTGTTAAGGATTTAGTTTTAGTTTATGAGTATAAAAAATACTTTTATTCAAGTTTTGGTATTAATCCATATTTTCTACACTTTACCGTATTTAATTATAAAAAAATAATCTAAATCTAAATACATGTGTTTTTCGAATTTCGGAAGAGGCGGAATTGGCTGTCGAGCTATGGTGAAAAAGGTGCATAGGGCAAAAAAGGTTGAGAACTATTGTTCTAGCTAGTTCTTCGAGAGGTACTGAACCAACAACATTCGCCGAGACAACTATTAAACGACACTTTTTACTTTCTCTCATAATATTCTGAATTTCATCTGAAGAATCTTGATTACTTTTCTCAGAACTTTTAAAAAATTTTATTACCTCCCCCACTCCCTTTTTCTTCATATATCCTTCTTACACAGTACAGAACTCAGATGAATTTTTAGCTCTGTACTATGAAAAGCGAATAACTTGAGTTTCCGAATCTTTCTGCAAAAATATTTATAAGGGGGGGGGAATCCAAAATTTTTGTTTAAGCATTTCTGCACTCCTTCCCCTCCATTTAAGTTTATACCTTTCCTATATTCCTTTTAAGGGAAAATTTGAACTTCAGACTTTTCATCTGTGCTACGTTTTCTGTATTATTAATTATCAAATTAAAATTTTTATTTGGAAACACTGTTTTTAATCACTGTGTAGACATTAGGTTATTTCGAAGCAGGAGAGATGTAAAATAAGCAATGCCCTCACCGGGACTCGAACCACGGACCTCTCGAATACGCACAGAGTGTGCCGACCATTACATCACGAAGGCATGTTAAGAAGATGGGAGAAATATCTTATAACTGTTAGAACGAATCGATATGACAAGAATACCACCAATACGGGCTTTTTTGGTCCAACCATGCTACACTGAAACTGTATAGAAGAAAATATATTAAAATGGCTTTTTACAAAATACTCTAAGCATTGCTTTATGTGTCAAGCTTTATGTCTTTAAGCATTGCTTTATGTCTTTTAAGCATTGCTTTATGACACTGTGATCAGGTATTTTTATGTCCGCAGTTTTAAGCAATAAATGATAAACATTATCCCTCTCTTGGAACCTCAAATTCCCTTTATTCCAAGGAAAACTGATCTTAGAATACCATATTCCCCTACTCGTTTATTTCCTTATAATGATACAACCAAGGCCAAAAGTCTTAATTCCTAAGGAAGATGGTCGGCCAGTTTTGGCCAAAGTCCAAAACATATAATTGATCAGCATTTATGAAATCCGATAAGGAATCTGTAAGACTGTAGGAAATTCCAAATATATTCAGATTCAATACTCTAAGTATGAATATTTTATACAGTTTATTGAAAGAACGTCCAAACGGACGAATTTTTAGTCTGTTATAACACCATTCTTCTTCTTTCCCCCCACCTTATTTAAACGAAGGAATATTATACCGTAGTTAGAACGAAACTTCAAAAATACCTCTTTATAATTGGAATGACATTTATTACTGATATTTGGAATTACAGTTATTTACAAATAATTTCGAATGCATCTTTATCCCTAAAAATATTGAGAGGAGCTTTTTATTTCTTTTGTTGTTAAATTAGTATATTCGTTTCAGTATGTGAGAAGAAGATAGTTTTTTTCCCAAATAACAAATTTGAAATAATTTTAGTTATTATTCTTTATAAGGAAACAGATATGCCTTATTTATCTGCTCAAATCCTGATTCACTAGAACTCGAAATAGTCAAAAATCATTAGAATCAAGTGCAGGTCATTTTTTTAAAAATCTTGACGATGAATTGCAAATTATTAAGTAAAAAATATTTTCGAATTAAAAAAATATGTTGCTAATATGAAAGTATTCCATACACTATACATACAGATTCTTCATTAAATCCAGGACGCACTGATAAATTATTAAATATTTTCAGCTTTGGCCAGCTTATGTTGGCGGTCGTTTCACAATATAATTTCACACTGGCCGTAACATTATGTAACGTATACATATATACAAAAAGAAACGAGATTTTTTGTAATTAAATCAATGCAACGAATCAGCACCGGAATATTTTGTAGTAGCCGTTGGTAAATAAAGCATTAACTGACAAATTTTAAGATTCGAAATTAAATAGCATATTACGGTAGAACTTAGTTTATCTCAAATAATTAAGACAAAACAATTCAAAATCCCCCATAATCAGAGCCATTTTCAAAGGAAAAAAACAACTAATACGACAGTAATGTTAAATTGATGATGATAATAATAATGCTTTAATTATAATGTTATATTAAAATAATAATTTGAAAGATAAACAAATTTTATTTTCTACTTAAAGTTTTATTTTCACTTAATAACGTAAATAATTAAGATTTCTTAAGCGAATAAATTCGAGCTAAATTTTCATTTTAAATTTAAGTACAACCAAAGTAAATTTAAGAAAAATGGGTGGTCCCCGATTTTTAGAATATTGTTTAAATGACTATTTGGTTTAAAGTACACTTATATTGCGATCTAACTTTATATTTGAATTTCGGATTTGCATATAATATTTTTAGACCAATGTGATTCTTTTCAAATGGTCATTTTACAATATGTAATGTTTTGGGTTTTTTTTTTTTTTTTTTTTTTTTTTTTGTAATTAATTTGAAAC